GTCTACAATTCGCTGCCCCTCAACGAATATCCCTATCGCCGGAAAGGTAGAAATATTCAAAAACCCGCTAATTATTTTTTATTATAATCAAATTTGTAATCAGTTTATTTATTGTTTCAGGGTAGTTTTAATCAAATTGAAAAGAATTTTTTCAGGTGTGATTTAACTATTTCATTCTATTTAAAAGAAATTGTATTGCCTCATTATAATCTAGTAGCAAAACTGCTTGTTATGAAATTTGAAATTGATTACACGCTCCTCAATTCGATTGTAAACAGAATTAAATATTGAAGGACTTTTTTTTCATCAAATGTTTAAACTGTTGAAATTACTGTGTATTTATGAAATTAGAAAAGAGTTTCATACATTTTAGATAAACTTTATTAAAAAACACTTTATTCAGAAATATTACAATTTGTCACAGTTAAGGACACTTATAATAGAGTTCAGAGATTGCATTCATACCGTATATACAAAAATATAAATAAATAAAGTAATAACAAAAGAATAAGAAGAAAGAACAAAAGAGTAAAGAAAAAAAAATAATATATATACACATAAGTAAATAAAAATAGAAATAAAAGTAAAACAAACACCTTATATAAAACATACATTATTTACAATTTGCCAGGTGATCTCCGAACCAATCCTGTCCCCTCCACATGTGGAGGGAAAAGGGAGGCTTAGGAGATCCCTACGCTTCTCCCTCAGCCACTTCACTGGTATTTTAAACCAGCGGAGGATGAGTAAGAGCGCTACAGCCACAGACACTCATGACTTGAGTGGAGAATCTGGCCATTGCTAGAACTCCAAAATATCCATATTTACAAAAGGTCTCGTGGCCACTGCCGCTTTAACCTACGAAGGGGATTGTAGGGATGGGTGGTGCTTGATAGGGATTGTACAACGGGATTTGGGTGATGAGAAAGGTTCTGGTGAAATTTGGAAAATTTGGCTGGGATAAGATCAAGAATAAATGGGATATTAAGGTCATGATGTAGGGTTTTATTGGTTACATAGAAGGGAGCATTGACTATTGTACGGAGGACTTTAGACTGAAAGGATTGAATGCGTTTGATGTTAGAAAATTTGGCTGTTCCCCATAGTTCTAGTCCGTAAGTCCAGATGGGTTTCAGTATTGTCTTGTAGATCAGTAATTTGTTTTCACCAGAAAGTTTAGATTTTCTATTCAGTAGTCTATATAGCTGGCCATATCGTCTGTTAAGTTCCTGTCTTTTAAGTCGAGTATGTGGATTCCATGTTAGTCGTCTGTCTAAGAGAAAGCCAAGATACCGGACTGTATCTGAGAAAGGAAGCTGGATGGAGTTAAAATAAACTGGTGGGCAGGTATTACGCCGAAGGGTGAAGGTAATGTGTTTACATTTAGATTCGTTTACCTTAATGCGCCATTTCTTACACCAGTGTTCAATCAGGAAGAGGTGCCTTTGTAAGTTTGCGGACGCTGTTTCAGGATCTGAGTTGGAAGAAAGGATAGCAGTGTCATCAGCGAAAGTTGCCAGGAGGGTATCGGGATGGACAGGAATATCAGCGGTAAAGAGAATGTAAAGGATGGGGCCCAAGACGCTGCCTTGAGGAACGCCAGCCTCAATTGAGTAACAGTCGGAGAATTCGGTGCCACAGCGAACTCGGAAGGAGCGGTCGGAAATATAGGATCGGAGTACTAGGTATAAGGACTGTGGTAGATGGATTTTAAGCTTGAAGAGTAATCCGGCGTGCCATACCCGGTCAAAAGCTTGCGCTATGTCCAGAAATGCACCCGAGCAATACTGCTTGCTTTCTAGGGTTGAGGATATATGGTCAACAACTCGGAGTCCTTGCTGGACAGTGGAATGTTGGGAACGAAATCCGAATTGATGAGTAGGAAGGTTATAGGATTCAATTATAGGTAGGATTCGTTTCAGTAGGATCTTTTCAAAAATTTTTGAGAGGATTGGGAGTAGGCTAATTGGTCTATAGGATGCTGTATTGTTGGAAGGTTTGCCTGGTTTCAGGAAGAGGACGATGGTGGAATGTTTCCATAAAAGAGGGAAGTGGGTAGTTCTTAGGATGCAATTGTATATATATGTAAGAAATATGATGGCTTTAGATGGAAGTTGTCGAAGGATCTGTGGGGTTAGAAGGTCATATCCAGGAGATTTGCGAGGTGTGATTTTCCGTAAAAGGTATTTGACCTCAGAGGGATTAACAGCTTTAGGTGGTAAGGAGAGTGGGATAGGTATTGAGAGGGATTCTTCTACTTTTACTGTGTGGCTGGGATGGGATTCTGGATGAGGAGCGAAAGTATAGGAAAGGTGTTTGGCAAATTCCTCGGCTTTATCTTCATCAGATGCTGCCCAGGAGCCATCATCTCGTCGAAGAGGGTGGGAAATATGATGGGATTTGAGGATTTTTCTGGTGATATTCCAAAGGGAATTATCATGAGCAGAGAGTGTGGTGAGGTAGGAATTGAATGATTGGGATCTGAAGGTGGCTAATTCTTTTTTTAATTTTTTACAGTGATAATTGTAGGAGTGGCGGTCGGCTGGATGTCTGGTACGTTGCCATAATAATCTGGCACGGCGTTTTATGTGGATTAGGTCAAGGAGGTGTTGAGGTAAATTATGTTTCTTAAGGATTTTTGAGGAGTGATCAGGGGAGGAAGCAGTCCAGACTGCTTCTTGAATTTTGGTAGTGAAGGAATGTACTGCATTGTCCAGGTCTTCAGAGGTTTTCAGGGTTACTCTGAGGTCAATTTTATCGGAGAGGATTTGATGAAAGAGTTTCCAGTTAACTGGGCCTCTGATGAAGGACGGAGGAGAGGGTTTAGGAATAGGAGCTAGTGATACTTGGAGTATTAATGGGCTGTGGTCTGAGGAAAGCTCGTCAAGACGGGCAACGGAATGGTTGAGAGCACCTAAACCATTATGGATAAAGAAATCGAGGATATCGGGATTACGGTTAGGATCAGTGGGCCAGTAGGTAGGTGAGTTGGGTGGAAGAAGGGTAAAATTTTGGGAATTGAGTACAGACAGCAATGTTCGACCACGAGAATTCGTGGTTCTTGAACCCCATTGTTGATGCTTGGCGTTTAAGTCTGCACCCAAGATGAAATGATGTCCTAAGGAAATGAGGAAGGAACTAAATTGGATATTGGAGATGGATTGGTTTGGAGGGCAATACGCTGATGCAACGGTAATAGGAAAGGAGAAGGTTTTGATTACGACTGCGGTGGATTGTAGGAAATCGTGTGTAGGCAGTGGGAGTAGGTGATGGGAGAGGGATTGGTGCACAATGACTGCAGTACCGGCATGTGCTCTACCGTCAGGATGGTCGGTACGGTAAGTTATGTATTGTGGTGTTTTTAGGAGCTGTTTTTTAGTCAGTCGAGTTTCCGTTATTAAGGCTACGTCTACGTTCTTGTCTTGTAGTAAGGCTGTTAGTTCGTGTATGTGATTTCTAACACCATTCGCATTCCAAAGGAGAATGGATATGGGTTTGATGGAAGTCATTTAAGGATTTTTTAAAGGAGGGATAAGGTGAGATACTAGGTTAGTGAGAAGTGATATCAGTGGGGTAACAAGGGATTTAAATTCTGAAAGAAAGGATGTCAATAAGCTGGTTAGATCTGTAGCATTAGGCGGTGGAGGAACATATTGGATTTGATGTTGGTGAGGTTGTTGTTGATTAGGTACATTAGGTGGGATAGGATATTGAGATTGGGGTTGAGTTTGTTCTTGCGGCAGGGCCTCACATACATTAGTCAGGTCTCTACCCCCAAGTAGCTTGGCAAAAGAAACCTTAGAGTTCACAATTTTAGCGGGTCCTCTTCTTGGTTTAGGTGTATCATCAGGGTCCCTGGGTTTCATATATCTCGCTTTAAGATTTTTATAAATTTGGCAGCCTTTGTAGTTGGCTGGATGGCCTTCCAGGCATAGGGCACAGACTGCTGGTTCTGTAATTGGTTTATTACACTCGCCAGACTTGTGTGTTTTACCACATTTCACGCAGCGTGGTAAGTGGTGGCAATAAGACTTGGTGTGGCCATATGCTTGGCAATTATGGCACTGGATGAACTCTCTTTTTGGGTACGGTTTTTCGACCTTTACGCTGGTGTAGAAAATTCTATTCACATCGTATATTTTTTCGATCCCAGGCGATGGCTCTAGATCGACGAAAAATAAGGGCAATGGGATTTTATTCTTTACACCTGGTTGTTCTTTATTTTCTTTTAAAACATTGGTTATTTAGATAAACTAAGTTTTAATTCATTATTTAGCGAAATAAGCTAAAAATCATTCGATAATGAGAACATGTCTTCACTTATTTCTATTACAAATGGGAGCTGATGGTAGGAAAGAATGCAAAAAGTTTTGTAATAACTTATTAAGCGGGAAAATTAGTCTTATAAAAAAAAAAGCAAATAGACCCTTACGGAAAACACACTGGGACAAATCATACAATTCTTTTTTTTTCACAATATAAGTCTTGTTTTCTTAAATACATATATTTCAAAACTTCCTTCAAATATATTTTATCGATAATGCTATATGATAATGCTATGTGATAATTGCCATCACTGGAACCATTTACAATAAAATTATGAGTTCAATATTTTAATGGCTCTACAACCCTCAGTGGGTCCCGTCCTCCTCAAAGGAAATCAGCCTCACATTAAGTATGTCTAATTAATCAACTCTGAAATGGAAGTTACAGGTCAATTAAAACAGGACTTGAATCTAATATATATATTTTTCTTTTTCGTATCCACCTTATGAAATTAATCACTTTAAAATAGGTTGAAAGACATTAGAGCATCTGATTTATATGAGACGATAACGGCAGTATTACTGAATATCTGAACGACTTAAGGATGGATGATATTTCGTAGCAGTGACGATCTGAAAAGACAATGTCGATGACGGGTCAGCAGATTTATCTTGAGACGTTATAAGAAGATATTAGATATGGTCCCACTAGATTTCAAGGCTCGTTGACAACAGATGGTCTCGAGGATCATCGAGAACCGCCGATTTGGGCCAAGATGGCATAAAAAAATTTGTTGGAGGGTTCTTTCCTGCCATCACGTTGGCACCTATCACAGTGACACGCACACTAAGAAAAGGATAAACTACAATAGATTAATATCATTTTATAAACAAACAGCATTCGTTTCTACGATGGTTTCTTGGGCTTCCTTATTTGAAAAGAAGCGATGAAAATTATGTAGGCTGGAATGATTGTGCTAGAGGTAAACAGAGAGGTGCATTTATTTGTTTAAACTTTGCGAAATTCTCTCGCTTAGTTCCTATATTGACATTGAGTACTAAGTACTGAGTATTGAGTACTGAGGCTGAAAGAGAAGTTACCATCCACACGAAAGGCAAGCTTGTTGTATATGTATCCCTTAGGCTGAGTGTGGGTATTATGCATAAATGTTCAAGATGAACTTTTTTACTCTGCTATTTCACTTTTACTCAACTTAATTATCTTTATTTTAATTATTTAATTAACACACATTAAACTAAATTCTTTGTTTTGTTATGTATTTATTTATTTCTATTCAATCTTTATTAATTTTATTTACCAGTTCTAATTAGTTTTTTCTTTGTCAGTAAATATCATATGAATGATAAAAGCAACTGAATAAATCAGGAGATTGGATCACAATCATCTCAAAAAGAACTCGATTTTGAGAAAAAAGTTACTTATTTTTACGCTTTGGCGGAAATACGTGTTATTCAAGCTCATTGAATTTGAAAATTATAAATTTAACAAATTTACTATAAAAAATAAAATCATTTGCAAGAAACTATATTTTATGGTTTAACTTAATATTTTTGTATATATTTGAAAATATTATTACATTTTTGCTATTTGAAAACTATTTCACCAGTGGTTATTTACCTGTTTCTCTCAGTGTAAAAGATGGTGTTTTTTTAAATGATAATTTATTTTAGAGGAAGGAGATGGTCATCAATAGACTAAAATAGTGTAAAAACTATTTTATTTCATCTCAAGTTTCCCAAAAATAGTATTCCACTATTTTAATCTATTGATCACCGCCAGCCCGGACCATCTCCTTTCTCTGAAATAAATTATTATTTAATAAAATATCATCTGTTACACCGAGGGAAACAGGTAACTAACCATCTCCTTCCTCTAAAATACAAACCTGTCAACTATTAAGTATTCAATAATTTATTTCCCTTCTTTTTTTTTCCTTACGCCTGGACAACCTCTGCTTAATAAATCATACCTAAACTTACATCACAAGATAATATGTGTAACAAGACATGTTAAGTCCTGTAATACAGGGCATGAGTAGAGCTGCTGTAGGGGCAGAATACCTAATGAATACAGAGCAGAGGCCAGGTGTTGCAGCGGACAGCTACTTGTGGAGGAAGTCATGTCCGCCAGCGACGGGTTCTCCTCTTGGGAACCTTCTAGAAACCCACTCCACCGCTTTCTTTCAATTTTCCGGGAATAGTTTTCTTTTAGTGTACTTTGGTGAGTTCGCTTTTTTATTCCTTTAGCCGAATCAACGCCAAAGAAATATCTATTTGGTCCACCGCAGATCCTTTTTTCTAGCCAGTTTATCAGGCTCATCGTTCTTTAAGCACCGGTGGGTGGAATAAGGGCAGCAAGTGGGTTCCTTTTTGTCAATACTAAGCGACATTTCGAAAGTTAAAATATTCTTTTATCCAATTGAGGCAAACAAGATTTATTTAGCTTAACTGACAGAAGTAAACATTAACTGATCCTTCTGGCATTCGCCCTAGACGGCTTGGAAACTGTAATACCGAATTATTACGATAAACTTTACCAGAATTTTCAACATTTAAAATAAAAAGTAAAAATTTACAACAGCATTCTTAGAATAGACCTGGATACATTTACGGCGCTCCATTCTTCACTCATCTCCGTTAAGAAACATAGTCTCCTACATACGTTTGAGGCCACTATATTAAGAAAATTGTGTGCCCCGCATCATTGAAAACGACGAAAACGGAACAACTACACCAGTTCTTCCAGCTGGCGACAAATCATCAAACGAACCCTCTTAAAAATTATGTGATGCAATAAAACACACACCAAGCCTCTTTTTCAATACCCTCTCTCCATCCTCAGCACCAGTACGTTGGGACCTAGCGGAACCGGAAACCAAATAAACAAAACTTCAAGCCAATATCAAGTCTCTCTAAATAGATTCAACAACTTGATAAAATAAAAATTTAACTTTATTTTTTTGAAGTGTTACCAATGGAAGTATCTCTTCACATCGCTATGCCATATACCAATTCAATTTTACTAGTTGTATTATTTTTGCTTCAAGATTTTAATCAAAACCCTATCCTGTAGTGTTTTTAGACAAAACAAAGCAAAAACTCATTAAAATGAAGTGTCTCTATAGAAAAAAGACGAAGTAGAATCAGTGGATATTATAATACAATCTCCAAAAGAAAATCTCTTTCATTATTCACTTAATACAATTTAGGTGTACATCAAAGTAGTTATTTTTCGTATTTATTTTTTATAGTCTTATTTTTCGTTTTATTTTTTTTTTTTTTCTCTTATGATATGCGTTATTATCAGCAAGTGATGTCCGGTAAGGTGCCCTAGAGAACTCGGTCAGACGGCGTTAGTACACTTCGTGGTTCACCAACCAGAAAAACCTCCAGTGACAAATTGAACACTTCAGAACAAGAACCTGCCCCAACTGCTGGTTGCTACCCAAACTGCTGCCTCACAGGCTTTTGACCGGGTATCGCACGCTGGACTGCTCTTCAAGCTTAAATTCCATCTACCACAGTCCTTATATCTAATACTCCGATCCTACCTCTACGACTGTTCCTTTCAAGTTCGCTGTGGTACTGAATTCTCCGTCTGTCATTTAAATTGAGGCTGGAGTTCCGCAGGGCAGCGTCTTGGGTCCGATCCCTTACATTCTTTTCACCGAAGATATTCCTGCCCATCCTGATACCCTCCTGGCAACATTCGCTGATGATACCTATATCCTTTTAACTTGCTCAGATCCTAAAACAGCGCCATTAAACCTACAAATACACCTCTCCCTGATTGAACACTGGTGTAAGAAATGGCACATTAAGATAAACGAATCCAAATGTAAACACATAATCTTCGCCCTTAAGCGTATGTCCACCAATTTATTTTAACACCATCCAGCTTCCTTTCTCAGATACAGTTCGGTACCTTGGCTTTCTCTTAGACCGACGACTAACGTGGAAACTCATACTAGACTTAAAAGACAGGAACTTCATCAACGGTACGGCCAACTATACAGACTACAAAAAAGAAAATCTAAACTTTCTATTGACAAACAAATTACTGATCTACAAGACAATACTGAAACCTATTTGGACATACGGACTAGAACTGTGGGTAACTACAAAATTTTCTAACATGAAACGCATCCAATCCTTACAGTCAAAAGTCCTTTGAACAACAGTCGATGCTCCTTTCTATTTAACCAACAAAACCCTACATCATGACCTCAACATCCCATTTGCCCTAATTCTTATCCCCGAAAAATTCTCCAAATTTCACCAGAACCTTACGTATCATCCAAATCCTCTTGCACAATCCCTATCAAGCAGCAGGTTGAAACAGCAGTTGCCTCGCGACCTTTTGTAGATTGTTTATATTGGAGTCTGGCAATGGTCAGATTCTTCACTCAAGACATGAGTGTATGTGGCTCAAGTGCTCTCGACCAATCTCCGCTGGCTGTAGTACCAGTAATGCGGTTGAGAGTGTAGACCAGGGTTCTCCTGGATCCAAATTTTCACTCCATAGTTGGAGGGACAACTCTTCCTCGGAGTTCCCTCGCCTGATTGTAAATAGTGTATATAGGTATGCTTGTGCTTTTTGCTTAGTTTTAATTTTCTTATTTTTAGGTTTTTAATTTTAATTATTGTATATACTTTTTGATTATTATTTATTGTTATTTTGCTTCTATTTATTTTATATATTTGTTCATATAGTGTGAATGTTATCCTACCTCACTATGACTAATGTCCAAGTGACAGATTGCTGTAATACTCAATAAAAAAACAATGTGAAAAAAAAACAAAAAACTTTTTACATTTAGCTGCTTCCTCATTTTATTGCATACTATGTTTATGTAAACTTATCGTATAACAAAAAACATTAGTTGGCATTATTATAAATAGCATTATTATTAGTGAAAAATATTAACTTTTGTTTACATTGTGAATTTATTAGATATATTTAAGCTATATGGATAAATTCCAATACACCATTACGCAGCTAACTATAGAAGAGAGTTTTTGAGAGCTTGAAAATATTATTAATAATTAATTGTTAATTGCTATTTTTGTTTATTGTAGAGAGCCTGCAGGGGCCGCACGAGAAGAAGCTGCTCAATGACCTCCTCAGCATGGATCGCTACAACACCCTGGAGCGGCCCGTGGCCAACGAGTCCGACCCCCTCGAGGTGAGGTTCGGCCTCACGCTCCAGCAGATCATTGATGTGGTGAGTCCTCCTCTTTTCATACCACCTCCCCACAACTGTTTATGTATTTGTTATCATCTGGCCTTCATGCAGTGTTTGATTGGTGGATTATTTATAACCAAAAATGATTTTATAAAAATATGGTCCAAAACCAAACCATTTTTTTAATTTCGAACGCTGTGTGTTTATGAGCAGAAGTCATATAATCTATAACAACACTTCTTATCTATACTTAAATCCACTATATTTACATAATGTTTGCATACAGTCTCCTGTAAAAGAACATTCGACGAAAATAGGAAATAAAAACCTTTTTTCAAGAGCTAAATAAAAGTAACAGTGAATAGATTTCTTTTTATTTAAAATCAATGAACTAACGATGACTACAATAAAAAAATTAACTAAGCGTAAATCTACCGTATAATAGATTTAATAATAATCACCTATTAATAAACATTAAAATGTTCGTATTTACCTATTCTGCATTTGCACAACTTCTCTTTAATGCAAATCAAAATCTAATCAAATCGCATAAATATTTGATTATATTGTATTAGTTATATTTTTAAAATACCTATACGAATATCTAATTTTGCAATTTGAATGTCGGTTACTAAAGGTTTTAATGCTTAAAATGGGAAATTAAACTTGTTAACCAATATTTTAAAGTTTTTGTTGAGAAATGATCATTGCATTTTCATACATTGGAGAAATATATCAAACTAAATAATCATTTCTAATTAAAGTAGACCATAAGAAGTACATGACGAAATATTTTATCCATACATTCTCTGTTGTGATAGCAATACAAACACAATCAAACTCTTTTAGGGATATCTTTCAGAGAGTGTAAAATTTGAGGAGAGAGCACTAGTGACGGTTGCTTCCTTCGACTCCCTCCCCCCTCCACTCCATGGATCCTTCAGTTTTCGTGTCATCAAGTTTATCTTTGCCAGAAACGTTCTCAATCCATGTCCTAACCAGCCAATATCACAGCTCATGTATAACATCTAATATAAAGAATAATTTTAACTTTTATTTGTTGTGTCTTCTAGGATGTACCGAATTTTTACGCAATCGTTTTACCCGTGACCGTGCTACAAAAGATATTAAAGGAATGAAGTTCTATTCAATAAATATCTCTTGAAACAACTAGGGTGATGGAGGGGCAGGGGCTGGGCTTCCCCTTCCACCGTCTCCGGAAGAGACCACTCATACCGAGATAAGGACAAAGATAACCAACTTGACAATTCTCCCAACTGACCCCTTGATAAGTCCCATCCGCTTCTAAGTTCCTTCTAATTGCTTAAGCAATAAACATCTGAGATAGGAGTCAATTTTAAACTTGTTTTTATTTGTTTATCCCGTGTCAGATACCTTTTAAATATGAATCCAAATTGCAAAAGAAATAATAATAAAATCATTTTTGCCAATCTATCTTATAGACAATTTAAATAATAATTCCAAATTTGCTTAAAATCGAAAACAACATACTTAGTGTACGTCTATGTGGTTCTATTAAATTGACTATTGATGTGTGTCTACCAGGTAAACAATATTAACTAATTATAGATTAATCTATTAACATCAAAGAACTTATATAAGAATGTTGTAAAGATTGGGAGAATCCTCATGCTTATAGTCAGGAAACCCAGAGATCGTTAAGAAAGCAAGACAGTGAAGTGGGAGTAGTCAATTATAACAATCTTAACCCAAGGTTTTAAGTTTTCTCCACGATGCTCATTGTCTCCAATGGCTCCAATCCAATCAAGGATTAGCTTCTTTGACAAAAATTCCATGGAATCCAACTTCATAATTTAAAAAATAATAAGGAGGGTCTTGTTGGAATCTCCAAAACAGTTTCATATTTTTCTCCTCATAGAACGTTATAGTTTACAAAAAAAAAAAAAATATATATATATAAAAAAGCTCTGAAAAATATCACAATTATCATTCCGAAACACTTATATATTTAAAAAAATTTTAAATTATATCAGAACTATTTAATTTTTAATTTAATCACCTACGCTATTTAAGCAACCTTTCGAATACTATTTTAATACTATAATATTTTTTATAGTTCTGTAACTGAATCAATGAGAATAAAAAACATTAGCGTGTCATAATCCACCATTCAATCACCACTCTATATAAATCACCTTTCATTCTATCAAATATTTCTTTAATTGATTTGAAATTTTATCTCTTTTTTAATTATAAATTAAATTATGGGTGATAAATATTCAGGAAGCAGTCTTATAAAAAAAATGTTATTTGTGCCGACGATTCAACCCAAACATGCGGGTCATCATCATAGCTGAAAATTTTAAAATACAATCGGAGATATAATATTATACGACCAATAATGATAAATAATAAACTATAGAGATTGATGGTACATAAATCTTAACTATTATTACAATACACTATACTAAAAATGAAATATGTAAAAAGTCATACAAACTAAAAATAATGTATATAATCCATTTATAAAAATCTCCTAATATTTTCTCTTACTAATCGTGGTTCGAGCACTGAAGGCTTTCAAGTTCTGACACATTTGGTAGGTAAGTGAAAGGGTCGGGGGAGGATTTCCCAGTTGTCCTTTTTCAGATAGCAAAAGGAAGGTAAACATAGTCAGAGGGGAAGTGAGGTAACATTTCTGTTTGTAGAATGTAAATAATTTGCTGACTAAATATTGAAGATGTATACAAGATTTCCATATCACAGTTTGATTGAAAGTATACAATGGTTAGCCAAAAAATATTTATAATAAAGACAATTGTAATGGATTCAAAAGATACTTAGGGCAATATATTATACAATATTTTATATATACTTTTTATAGTATATATTTATATACATATCTTATATATATATATATATATATATATATATATATATATATATATATGTGTGTGTGTGTGTGTGTGTGTGTGTGTATAATAAACGTAGGAGTAATTACCTATGTAGGTTGACACGAGAAAATGGGAAATAAGAAAAACAAAATTTTATTGAAAATAGACTATTGTTTTATGAAGCCGAAAATATTCGAAAATGTGTTGCAGATCTTTTCTTTATCTACTTTGTGGTTTACCGGATTATTTTTTTCCAAATTAATGAATATAGCTTCAGAAAGTAGTCACTTTTTGAGTATGGGAACTGTGGCAAGTATGGTTGGGTTTTCAAAATCAAATGTGTGGTTGAGGGTTATGTCGTTTTCGGCTAGTTTCGAGGCGAGCGGGTTTCGTGTGGAGATGCTTTGAGTTTGGTATATTTATTTCTTTATTTACTGTTATTTTTGAAAACTATTTGTAGATGGAGAAATTTGAAAGTTAACGTTTTTTTGATTTTTTGAGATAGGACTGTGATGTATGGAATGGATCTGTATCAGTGTGGTTTGGTTCGGATATTGTCGGTGAATTGCGGGTCGGTTAGTATTAGACTGCGGTGTATCAGTAGTTTAGCTACACTGATTTTTTGGTGGTAAGGATGTTGGAAAAAATAGTTTAGGAGACGCGGGAAGTAGGTGCGTTTATCATTATAGGTATTATAATTATTTCTAGAATGCGGAGATCAATAAATGGGAGGGAATTATTTGATTCTATTTCAATGGTAAAGTCGATGGTGGTATAAGTTGAATGTAGAAAGTATGTTTGGAATAGCGCGGGGATCGAGAATTAATAAAAGGTCATCAACATATTTTTTAATGAAAAAATATCATTGAAAAATTTGGGTTGGTGATAATATTGCTGGTATAGTTCAGGTAATAGTCCGTTCTTCATCGTTAAAAATCAGGTTAGAGTCTTGATGGATATATTCTAGAGCAGTATATGGATATATTCTAGAACACCATCTCTTACAACGAAATTCGACCAACACCTAAAAAGCCTTCTCGATACTAAATCAATTAAAATCTCTACCTATAGAAATCTCATCTCTTATAATTCCACTGCTCCCCGGTTCTACGGTTTACCTAAAATCCATAAACCAGGCAATCCTTTCCGATCTATTATTTCCAACATTTACTCTTCATCTTCTAAACTCAATAAATGTCTTCTCCCTACCACCCGGTCTCTCAATCAAAACAATCCATAAGACATTAAAAATTCCTTCCACCTATTAGATCAAATAAAATCTCCGAGCATAGCACCACATTTCATCTTAGCCTCCCTTGATGCAGAAAGTCTCTTCACCAATATCTCCACAGACCGTGTTCTCCAAATAATTGAAGAAAATTGGTCTACCATAGAACCACACACTTGCCTCAATCAATCCCCATTCTTTCAATCTCTCTCTCTCTCTACATATATAACACCGGCTACCTATGTGTTCAAAATAAATTTTTCATCAAACTTCCTGCTTGGAGATGGGTAATTGCCTTGCACCAGACCTCTCCAGCATTGTCCTAAACAGACTAATTGATTCTATACTTCCCAAATTTCCGAATGATATTTTTTTAATTAAAAAATATGTTGAAGACCTTTTATTAATCCTCAACCCTGAAGATATTCTAAAGATACTTTCTGCATTCAACTCATACCACCCTCGACTCCGTTTTACCATTGAAATAGAACCAAATAATTCCCTCCCATTTCTTGATCTCAGCATTTACAGAAATAATGATAATACCTTATGCACCACTTGGTACACCAAACCTACATACTCTGCCTGTCTCCTAAACTATTTTTTCCAACATCCTTACCACCAAAAAATCAGTGTACCTAAACTCCTGATACACCGCAGTCTAATACTAACCGACCCGCAATTCACTGACAATATCCTAACCAAACCACACAAGATCCTGAAATCCAACGCCTTTTCTGAACACATTATAAATAATGTAATTAAAAATCAATCCGAACCTCATCTTCTCCAGTCTCCCATAAATTGATCTCAATTTTCCCCCACGATTCGCCAATACAGATCCATTCCATACATCCCAGTCCTATCTCAAAAAATCAAAAAAACGTTAACTTTCAAACTTCTCCATCTACAAATAGTTTTCAAAAATAACAGTAAATAAAGAAATATATATACCAAACTCAAAGCATTTCCATACGAAACCCGGTAGCCTCGAAACTAGCCGAACACGTCATAACCCTCAACCACACATTTGATTTTGAAAACCCAACCATACTTGCCACAGTTCCCATACTCAAAAAGTGACTACTTTCTGAAGCTATATTCATTAATTTGGAAAAAAATAATCCGGTAAACCACAAAGTAGATAAAGAAAAGATCTGCAACACATTTTCGAATATTTTCGGCCTCATAAAACAATAGTCTATATTCAATAAAATTTTGTTTTTCTTATTTCCCATTTTCTCGTGTCAACCTACATAGGTAATTACTCCTACGTTTATTATACACACACACACACACATATATATATATGATAATACCTTATGCACCACTTGGTACACCAAACCTACATACTCTGCCTGTCTCCTAAACTATTTTTTCCAACATACTTTTATATATATATATATATATATATATATATATATAAATATTGGGTTTTATATATATATATATATATATATATATATATATATATATATATATATATATATATATATATAAAACCCAAAATTTTGAAAACCCAACCATACTTGCCAAAGTTCCTAATCACCAAAAGTGACTGAATGTGAAATGTGAAAAATATACATATAATGCCCATTCTTAATATAAATATATACTATAAAAAGGCACACATATGTTAATACTTATACTATTAAAACTACTTGTTGCTTAATATAATACATACTTCTATTATGATTAATATTGTAATTTTTTAAAATATTGTATAATATATTGTCCTACGTATCTTTTGAACCCATTACAATTGTCTTTATTCTAAATATTTTTTGGCTAAGCATTGTATACCTTCAAGCAAACTATGTTATATTTATATTGATTGGCACCTCTTGCTTATCTTAATTTCATTACTAGCCAATAGTCACAATTCTGTAACCATAAGAAACAATGCAAATCTTGTATACATCTTCAATATTTAGTCAGCAAATTATTTACATTCTACAAACAGAAATGTTAGCTCCCGCCCCTCCCCCTCTGACTACGTTTGCCTACCTTTTGCTATCTAAAAAAGGACAACTATGAAATACTCTCCCGCCCTTTTCACTTAACTACCAAATGTGTCAGTAATTGAAAGCCTTCAGTGCTCGAACCATAGTTAGTGTTGCCCAAATGCGAGACCTAGACGAGTCTTGGTCTTGCAAAGTCATTCTTGGTCTAGTCTTGGTCTCGCACAAGACTCTCGTAACAGAC